CCCCCCCCCCCCCCCCCCCCCCCCCCCCCCCCCCCCCCCCCCCCCCGAAATATTGCAGGTCCTTACTTTTTCGAACATGCGTTGATGTTCTGAAACGAAAAAAAAAAAATATTTCTCTAACAAAGGGAAACTTTCATATTTCCAAAATAAATTCAATTTTCTTGATATATATATATATATATTTTTTATATATTCTGATAATATTTCATATGTAATTTTTGCCTTAGGTATGGAATTTTTTTTATTTTTTTTATTTAATTCAGATCACAGGTGTTAAGAATTCGACTTAAGCCGGTGTCAAATGTACTCACGAGTTAAATGTTATTTAAACAACACGTGGAAGCTTCTCAATATATGATTTTGCCCATAACTATCTCTGCATATTTTTATAAAAACCGGTTTGTCTTCTGCAGTTTATCTCATAAATCTTTGTTTATTGCATTTCGTATGTCCACGAATACATTTGCGGCTGTTGGCTCTTTATGAGGTGTAACATATTTTACGTTTTATTCGAAAATTGTATAAAACATTTATTATAATAAAATATATTCATCCTGATAGCAACATACGCTTCACATATACATAAATACATAGGTCAAAATACAAATTATTGTATATATCTATATATATATATATATATATATATATAATTCTACTTTAGATATAAATATGTATCTGTCAATAGAAGTGCCGGTGTCTGAGCCGGTTTCGCTGTGCCCGTTCGTCTGCCCTTTATAATCCTTTTAGACTTCATAGTTTCAAAATCTGAAATAAAAATTTAAAGTTAGACTCGAAGAATTTTGTGTATTACGTTCACAGGTTAGGCTCGGTAATGAACGCAATCTGTCCATCAGGTCTTGGTATGGTATACAGACAAATTTATTGCTTTATAAAACGTACATGATACGTTCGATTTTCTCGAAATTTCGAAATGAGAAAATGTTTGTTTTGAACACAATCAAAATCGCACATGTCTCTCCGTCTCTCAGCAAAAGCAAGGCATATGTTCTAGACCTGGCCCCTTCCATATATTACCACATATTTAGATCGATGCAATCACATTCAGCAGGTCAACGGTTCACGGAAGTAGAAAATGTGCAAAAATATGGGTCGCTTTCTAGCAAATATATTTTAAATAAAGTTGACTTTTATCAAAAAGCGAAACGAATTTATTTGCACATCTATTATTTGCTTATTAGAATCTAATCGAATAAATATGTCGGAATGATAGTAACCTTTGGCTGCCTGCCGACAAAAGTGCCGGAAAACTTTGCAATCATTTTGAATTTCGCTTAACTATGTTAGAGATTCAATATTCTATAACTTGTTCTTCTTTTATTGTATCGTCCATAGTAGATGCAGACATGGATTCATGCTTTGGAGGGATCACAGGTTACATGCGCTCCTATCATGTGCTCAAGGAAAGGTCATGATTGCGTTATCAAAACGTGTTTAAAATTCTTCTTCCGTTCTTTTCCGTCCTTTTAATCGGATCAAGCTAATGAATAAAGCAATTTGAAGCTTAAATATAAGGCATCTAATGCCCTGGCGCTGTTTATGTGAAAATCATTCTGTAGAAGAAATCGGGACACGTTTGTACCTTTTTAGTTGTATTTTTTCATATCTGTAATCCGTGACTTTCAACGAAAATCTCATAAAAAGAAGAAGAAGAAAAAGTGAATTGTCTTTCGTAATATAAATTTCTGTCAATTTGCGGAGTACGAAAAATAGCTCAATGCCAGCAAGATCTCAACGTAAAGTGTAGTTTCCATTATGCACAGACAATGCAAAAGAAGAGCAACGTTTCCGTAACGTATCGATGTCTAAGAGGCAGGAAGATTTATTAAGACCGTCACTGAAGCATTCTTCTGAAATCTGCAAACAGATGATAATTGATGAAGGCCGTATAATATGAAGGACGGTTTTTATCTCGACAAAACTCGAATTCTTGCGTTATTTTGAGAAAAATCTGTGTCACTATAAAGCCAT